TTGTAGGAAGTGAGTTTTCGAAGTACTTGCAACCATTTAGGGTTACTCACGGCATGAATGGCTGAGATATTCACGGACAAACGACCAAACTCTTTCCTGAAGAGTGTCTTCAGATCGTACCTAAGAGCCAGCCACGCGTTTAGTGAGGATCAGTTTCAGCACGCTGATAATCCGTGTTGTGGCGACATACCAATGGGGAGCATAGACCATGTTCTCCGGCTGGTGTTGTACAGTCCACGAAGAGGGGCAAAGCTGATGGGAGTGTAGAGTAAGTTGAAGTGCTCCGCGTGGGCCAGAACGAAGAGCATTCACCCACCTCATTAGGAATGCCTTCGACAAAAATAATCTTGTCTTGCCCAGCGGATCGCTGTACACGTGCCGCCCATTTATTCACGAAGGGATAATAGAAATCCGTATGCCAATCGACCTACTCCCGACAAACCAACTTTAGCGGATCAAGCTGGCTATATTTCGACGTGTTGAGCTTACCTTGCGGTCATTCAATGGCATCCGGTCGAAATAATTCTCCTTCACAACGACTGGTTCTTTCTTCTTTTCGTCCCATTGCCAGACGCCATGCATGCGCCAAACACATTCTCCTCCACTCGGCCCATCCTTGCGCCAGACCTGAAATGGTGGGTGTGTTAGGATGCATTCTTGAAACATAGAGGGGGAATGCATATACCTTGCGCCCATTCACGTTGCGCAACTTGTGCGTCGACAATTTCGTCACAGGAAACGACATGACCCAGTGCGGCACCTTCGTAGGATAACCAGCTCCCAAAGTGAAGGTTTGCAAAGCAGACGCTGAATCCAATGGAACGTTTGGATCGTCAGACACCGAAACAAAAATAGTGACATGAATGATGGACTCACGTGTATCGCCCAAATGCAAGTCCGTGTCGTAGTTGTATTTGTGCATGGAGTACAATGAGATATAACCCCGGTGCGGTTCGTTCATCATCTATTGTGGAAGCGCCATTTAGCCCTAGCTATGGGTGAATTGGAGGATGATTAAGCCACTTACCTCAAAACCAGTCACACTATCAAGGCCAGCCAAGCCCGTGACGAGCCAATCATAGCTGTTTAACAAGGCGTCCTGCAAGAAGTCTTGGATATTCACCTTTTCGCCCTTTCTGTCCACGAGCAGCTTGGGTGCGAAGGTCCGACCGGCCCAGAAGAGGGTGTTCATCGTGCTGCATGCCAGCTTTTGGTAGCCCGTTGGCCAAAGCCCACGTTCTTGAACGACTCCAGGCTCTTTGATCCCACCAAGATAAGCAGCGCCTGTCTCTTCTAGCGCGTCCAAGTCGAACCCGGCTAACTCGAGGGTCCACGCCGGTGCACCGGAGCCCCCAGAGTATCGCGACCAAACATCTTGATGCATCGAGACGAACGCTGTAAGACCATATTCAGGAAGCATGGCGAGGAGTGATCGGATATAGGAGAGGTAATCGGTGTCGTATAAACCCCTATAGACCATTGTCTTAGTAGGCGGTTAACGCGTTGCCTTGGTCATCGACTTACGGTCCTGCATGTTCTATAGCTTCCCATGTTACCATGAACCGGATGAAAGTCAGACCCCATCGACGCAGGCTAGACGCGTATAACGTTAGTCCAGTGCAACGCGACACGCGACACGGGCCACACGCCTACCGTGCAAAGTGTTCAGGGGCTTTGTCTAACGGGAACGGCCTTCCAACAAACGTCACTGTTCGATGCGCAGATGGAAATGTCGCAGGATCGTGATTCGCCGGCCTGGTGTAGAGAAACGCCTGTTAGGAGTGGGGTCGAAAAATAGGGGACTGGTGAAGACGTACGTTTTGCTGGCGCCAGAGATATTGACACCCCTGAGGAGGCAGACGCGTCCCCATTTGTCGACAAAGTTTCGACCAGAAGTCCTTAGAGCACCTCCAGTAGCCTTTGCGCTCCAGTTATGAGCTGAGGATTTACAGTCTCCAGGTTGGTACTCCGGTTTAAGGGATTCATGCTGCTCCTCACGCTACATTGAATACCCGTTAGCCTTGGATAATAAGTATAGAGTAAGTCACTTACAGTTGGAGGTATTAACACGTAGGATTTCTCCAAATCTGAGATGGCCATTAGTAGCTTGGTCGAGAATGAAATATTGGCCAGGTACCCGGGCTCGAATCAGTTCGCCGATGCGGTTCCCAGATCACACCGCACTCGCCGTTGAGCTGTAATACTGCGGTTAAGCATCCAAAGGACAGAACTTCTTCGTATCTTTGTAATCAGTCTACCACTAAGGGGAGGCCGCTCGTTAATAACTGGGCGGGCCCTTACACTCGTTTCATATACATCCAGCGCCAATGAACTCGGAGGCATAAATCTGGACATTGGCCGTTTGCCATTCCCGTTTGAGAATAAATGGGTGCAGTCTGTAGCATCAACAGAAATATCCCGTTTCTGCAATCTTTTCCCTGTTCCGTTTGAAACATAATCGAACCGAGGTCTCGTGCATATGCAGCATGGAGGTATAACAGCGCGACTCAGATACGAGTGGGAGAAATCAGTTTACCTCAAACCATATGGCACTATCAAGGCCAATAAAGCCCCCCACGGAACTAATTGTAGTCTAGAAATGCCGGCGAGAAACCTTTCGACCACTCATTATTTTGAGGACCCCTAACACGCCCAAGTCGAACGGCAAATGTGACCACATCGTCAAGTCAACCTCCGGAGTATGACAACACATGTCTCGACGTATGCGACGAAAGCCTATCAGGCTAGAGAGGCATGAAGAGTAGTGATGTAACATGGGAGGATGGGCACCGTCGACAATCATGGCAGGTTGGAACCTTTGATTCAAAAAGCAGAATCCGTCTAGTGTAAACGATCACCTGGGAGTCTACATAGCAGTACTATGATATATACGTCATACACTAAAAACGCCAGGGCTCGGTGAGAACTGCCGGCCGGCTTGAATCCCCGGACCCATCCTACGCTGCTAACCCGACACTGGTCGTTTGACCTCAGTGCTAAGTGGAAGCCTCGGTACCGCTGACCGGTACCAATCGAGCCATTTGAACAAGTATAAAAGGAGAGGTTGTAGTACTGGAGGTGAGCCATCTGCAACAATTCCTCATGTCTTATTCCCACCTCAAGTCCTCCTCTTCCCCCGCACCCTCGTTCACAGACGAGGACGCTCGCCTTCTCTTCGACGCACCCTTACCACCTTACCGCCTTGATGAGCTCTATCCCCTTCGGAAATGCTTTGTAGTTCCACAGACCGGCACTGGGATTGATTCACCATTTGCGAGAGCGTATAATGCCGAGCTCGAATCCTCTGGTATCCAACAGACGGACTGGCTCAAATTCTGCGATGGCTTGGTACGCATTGCCTACCAATCTCCTGTTCTGTCATTCATGAGACTGACCACTCGTTCCATAGAACATCGCTATGACAGCTAGTCCACCACTGCGTGTGCTGGATGTCGCAGGCAAGGTCATAGGCTTCGTGTAAGTGCTTTTAACATTCCACCCGCCAGTGATCACAAACTAAAATACCATATTTTGCAGTCCATACCATTGGGCGATGATCGCCGGCCCCGTAATTCAAGCCGGAGCTGCGATCGGCGCACATGCTGTCTCGAAAGGCTTGACCGACCGTTACATCTCCATGGCCAACAAGACCTACTTCGCTCCTCGAGGTCTTCGCGTCCGCCTGTGCAAGACGGACGCGATGCGCCAGATCGTCGGCCTTGATCCGAAGGGGACCAACAATCATGAGACTCTCAAGACGATGGGCAATACAGCAGAGCGCATTGGGCTCCGCCTACCACTCATACGCAAAGCGATCGTCATGTTCCATCCAGCACCCGCCATCGACACATCCAGGAACCCCGATGTGACCCAACGTAGGGTTGCGGCGCTCCAAGACTGTACTCTCCCCCTGGACTATAATGTGCCACCACCGACTACGCCTCGTGGTTACATGGATCAAGTTTCTGCAGGGTTTGTAAAGATTGATACGTGGAAGAAGGCGCGAGCCACCAATCAAACGGATAAAGCCAGGATGCAACTCGCGCAACAACAGGGGGCCAATTGGCAGATGGGAAGGGGTGGGCTTCAGGGTGGTGCGCTTGGAGGGCAAATGGTGCGGGACAGGATCAGCGCCCGTGCACGCGGAGATTCGTCCGATATCTCGAAGCTCAGAACGCAAGTCGCCATCGCGGATAGGCAAGAGGCGGCGAGAACTGTTGCGATCCTGTGGATAGTGGTCATGAATGCTGATAAAGGTGTGTATAATCTCTTCAGCTTCCCGAGTTCATGTGATTACGCGTAGCTGACACAATACCTCACCCAGATGCACAATTCTCGCAGATGGATTTGGATGACAACAAATCGGTCTCGACCGCAAGTTACGGAAGAGGATGGGAGCAGGAGAGTATTCGAGAGAATGATGGGGATTACCATGCATGGCGGCCGATGAATCACGACACAAAGTGGTAATCTGTGCAAGAGGACCGTATAGTTTAGAATATGTATCGTAGCATAATATTTGTATCCATATAATGCGTTAAATATGTACGAGGACAGCCGAAAGCGTATTATTCAACGAGAAAAGACTTTATGAGGGCTAGTATGGAAGTGGGAGCCACGATATCTAAAGATAGTAGACCTTTTCAGTGGGAAAGGAGACCGAATGACCAAATGACAAAAAGTGATGGTCGGATGATGAATGATCATATTTGAGTCAAGTTCGGTTGCGAAGGAGATATCGGGCAGTATATCGGTAATCCAGTTTCGAACGCCTTTGCAGCTTCGCCCTCGCGCCCACAAGGGCCTTTGCATAATATGCATTGAACCCCCCCTCCTCTTGATACACAGATGAGCTAGATTATCTCGGATAATTTGGTTCCATGAACAACTGCCGCAAAGCCCAGAAAGAAGCTCTGCGAAGCGATAATACTCGAGGAAGAAGGTGGTTCCGAGCCGTAATGTCAGTGAAGAGCTATCAGTAAAAGCGTTCGGCCAGATTCGGTCGATTAGTGTAGTGGTTATCACATCGGATTCTTCTGATCAGAACCAGATCTTTGAACTGCACAAGGTCATTTCCGCCGAATCAATTGGAACTTCCGGTAACCTGGGTTCGACTCCCAGATTGACCTCTTTTTGGGTAAGCGTTGTAAATATAGACCTGCCTACACTTTGGTCAGAGTCGGATGTGGTCACCACAGTCATAGCGCATGCCTTTCGGAGGCCACTCTTTGGAGTTGAAACGGACGACTAAAGCGGCAGACCCACATCGTATTACACATACTGTTATTCTATTGACAAAGGAGAGCTTGAACCCTTGGATTTCTTAACATATGCCACTCCTCCACCAAGGCAAATATGCGGATGGAGGGAAATCCATTGACCTGATGTAATGATGGCAATTGGGCATTATATTATATTTACCTTAGTGGTTGACAGATTCTTTGTGAACAAACCTCCACGGCGGAATAGGCTTGAGGTGACGCAAAACCAATGAAATACAGTACAACATATAGGGAAACTAGGTTCAAGAACAACGATACGAGTAACGAGTTTGTGTCCGTTCAATTTTAGACGGCCGACGAGCTGTCTGTATCAACCGATGGATGAACCATGTACGTGACAGTCCCTTGGTCACCAACAAGCCCAGCCTCTGATGAAGCAAACGACGTTTGGGAGTTACTGCCGATTTCCAGTAGGAAATGGTCCTAGAGAGTAGGACGATCCTGTCAGTACATGCTTCCATGTTGAGGAGCAGTATACTAACCTGAACAAGGCGCTTCAACACCTTCTCAAATAACCGCTGTTCGTACTCTAGCTGCTCTATAGTAGAGATCTCGTTCTCGCCTTCCTTCCTCTCCAAGTACCAATCGATCAAAGAGTCACGATCTAATCCACCATTTGTAACACGTTCGACCTCCGCGAGATGTAATACGACCATGCTCTGAATGGCGACGAACTTGTCGTGTGTGATGCGCAACTTCCGCTTGGGTTGTGTAGGCCCGATGGCAGCACCGCCACCATCACCTGACGGGCCGGCAGCAGCACTAGAAGTTCGGCCACCAAGTGGCAAGCCGGCTGACGGTCCACCAGCACGCGTTGGCGAACTCTGCGCTTGAGATGTTGTATTCGTTGATTGATGTTGAGATTCGATCTGATCCAATGTAGAGAGGTCTTGTCCATCGAGATCCATGTGACCATAGTCGGGAGACCCGTCACGTTCGTTGGTTCCATGTGTATGTCCAGGCGCATCGGCTTCGATATCGTCATCCTCCAAGTCGACGTCGTCTGATTCGACGTGAATAATGGATTGGCGTAGAAGGCTGTACGCTTCCCGGACGAACTTGGGCTGGATCTGGAGGTAATGCGGTAATGATATTATGAATAATACTTGAGCAGCCGAATAGGCCAGAGAGATCGTACCTCTTCAGTACAGTTGGCGCGAGCGATGGCTTCACTCAACCGGATCATACTTTCCAACTGTCGTACCGTAATCCTGTATGAATTCTTCCCAACACCAGTCGAGTCGTCTTGACGCAGCATACGATACTTCTCTACCAAGACATCAACAGCAGCACGATTGAGCTAAACAGCCGGGCATCAGTTTTGACTTCAAAGGCCTGAAAGGTCGGATGGCGTACCTTGGGGTTGAACGTTCTCGCATATCGAATGTACCTTTGCAGTTGCTCTGTGCTAAACTCGGGATTTATGGCATCGTCCATCAACCGATGCACATTCACAATGTGTGTCGCGATTCTTTCGTCTACTTCCTTGTTGCATTCGTCCAGCACAACGAAAAACAAATCAAACCTGGACATGATGGGAGCGCTCATCGCAACATTGGCTCTCAGGCTCTGTTTCCGATTATATCGTCCACCAATCGGGTTTGCAGCGGCAAGGATAGATGTCCGCGCGTTCAGAGTAGCTTGAATGCCGGCCTTTGCGATTGAGATGGTCTGCTGTTCCATTGCCTCATGAATGGCGACCTGGTCGGAGATATCCATCTTGTCGAACTCGTCAATGCAGCAGATTCCATTATCTGCGAGCATGAGCGCCCCTGCCTCAATAGTGAACTCTCCGGTTTCTTCGTCCTTGACAACGGCGGCTGTCAGACCTGCGGCCGATGAGGCCTTCCCGGACGTATACACGGCACGGGGAACGAGAGAACAAATGTACCTGCGCGGCCTGTAAGTGAGGGCAAGAGGAAGCCAAGACTACACCAGACTTACTTGAGGAACTGAGACTTGCTCGTTGATGGATCACCGACGATACATATGTTCAGATCGCCACGAAGGTTCATGCCCTCTTCAGTCTGCTTATGGACACCGCCCATAAGTTGTAGAAGGAGGCCCTTTTTGACGATCTCATGCCCTAGGAAACATCGTATGTCAGAAACTTTCCAACAGGGATCGATGGTCCCCTACCGAAGACGGTGGGTGCGATGCTCTCGACGAGTCTCGAGTAGATGTGATCTGATTCAACCATCCTCTGGAGGTCATCTCGCTCCGGATCACTGAGATTGCTTAAAAACTCCTGCTGATCTTCTCGACCTTCGTCAATCTCACCCCGTATGTTCGACGCGCCGGCCTGAATACAGCAGAATTTCAGTTAAGAGGTATCGGGGTGAGTCGTTCGGGCTATACGCACTCGGCCTTCTGCATCCAACGTATTTACCATGCACGCCAGGAATGCAGTCTTATATTGAAGATCGCGAACTCCGAGGCTCTTCAAGCCTGTCACGCCCTGGTTGCCGAGTCCACCATCCGCTGCTCGGCCTCCACCGCCGAAATTCCCTCCATTCCTTGTGACTTCTGCTCCCATGCCTGGCGAAGCCATTTGAGATACGTCCGGGACGACAATGAATGTCCCTGTGAACACGCATTTATCTCCTGCCTTGGCCCGTTCGACCATTTCTGACCGTAGGATGATGTCCAGACTAACAAGGGTAAGAGGGTCAGTTTCAGTGCTGTCCAAACTTGGTCGGCCGCAAATATTTACCTCCTTGGCATGCTCCCGGTCGGGATCTCGTTCGCATTCTCTTGGATACGGACCTTCTGCCAGTCGACGAACTTGCTCGCTTCCACATCAAGCGTCCACGCTGTCCGATTGTTACAGTTGGGGTTCTGACACATTCCTGGCTGCGTGTATTTGAACTGCTGTTCTACGTCGGTCACGCGTCCCTTGCACTCCTCGCAGACAAAGGTGCCCCAGACCAGCTCTGGCCGTACCTCAGATGTGCGTGTAACAGTACCAGAAACAGCGATGAGATGGCCGATTTGGAGCGTCCGCATGTCACGGATAGCGGACACCACGGGGAGAGAGTGAAACCCTAGAGTAAAGTCTCGAGTTTGTAGTGTAGTGGAGTTCGTGGCATTTGAGGTCGAGTCAAGATAGAGGTATTCAGGTGTAAACTCTCGGACAAGGTTCTGCAAGGCACGTTGAAGAAAAGGGAGAAAACTAAAAGAGATGTATTAGAAGTCATATCATTTAAGAGTGTAGGCACGCTGACCGGTAATATTGGCCCTCAATGGCTTGAGCGAGTACTTCATCGCGGTTCATCAAGTGGCCCCAATCAACGAACAAAGTCGTGAGCCCGTACTCCTTCATGGCATATATTTGAGCGATGTAGGGCGAGTCTTCTGGGGCATCCATATCATCGGTTCTGCCTGGTGTTCCAGGCAACTGGACGCGTTCTGTGAATCTATGAACTCCGGGTCAACGAGAGCCTATGTAATAAGAAGCTGGTTCGACCCACTCCTTTAAGAACGCCTCGAACTGCTCCATAACTTTCTCTCCTGTAGCATCTCTGACCGGCGGTATATCTCCAGGCATTCTATTGCGTCTTCCGCCGCGCCGCTGTCCTCCTGCAGTGGCAGCATCTTCCTCCTCATCTTCCCCGCCATTGACGCCAGCGAGGGCAAGTGGATCAATGGCCACTCTCTGACGAGGACTTCGCGGTTGTGGTGAAGAGCGGGAGGGTACAGACGAAGGCATAAGGAAACTGGTGGTAATGGGTATTGGGCGCGTCGCGACTGGTTCAGTTGCAAATCCTGAGACGCGTCTACTCCGAGGTCCGCTGTAAAGCCGCGCTGTGGTTCTCCATTTCGTTCACCAAGACACATGTCTGATGAAGCACCAGAAGGGAGCGCAATTCGTGCCATAGACAGATCGACTGTACATAAAATCACATCTGGTCAGGTCGTTGTTGATTTACAAACCGCCGTTAAGGAGCTTGTTGAGAATAGTCTGGACGCTGGAGCCACAAACATTGGTGAGTGGATTTTGCCATTCCTAAACTTATAGCTGGCTAAGAGGAATCCCAAATCTTTAGAGATTAGATTCAAAGAGTATGGGTTGCGATCGATCGAGGTCATTGATAATGGAAGCGGCATCTCGAAAGAGAATTACGAGAGCGTAGGTATGTGGTGTTTGCGCGTCATCCTTTTGGTCATCGAACTGATGTGAATGGCGTTTTCATAGCACTAAAACACTATACGTCCAAGCTATCTAAATATGAAGACCTTACAACCGTACGGTCCTTTGGTTTTCGTGGGGAGGCGCTATCGTCTCTATGCGCGCTGTCCGATAGCGTTACTTTCACAACGGCAACAGAAGCAGACGCTCCAATGGGGACTATTCTTGAGATGGAGCGGAGTGGGAAGCTCAAACACAGCAATGGGAAGGCTGCGCGTTCAGTGAGGATTCCAGATTTCGGATTCCGACCTCCACAGATACTGACCAACAACCTCGCAAAATAGCGGGGTACGACCGCTAGCGTTTCCGGACTCTTCACTCCGCTCCCAGTCCGAAGAAAGGAGTGGGAACGGAATGCTAAGCGTGAGTTTGCAAAGGCGCTGACACTAATCACCGCGTATGCATTGGTCCCTTGCGCGCAGGAGAACCAAGGCGTTCGACTCTTGGTATATAATCATCCTGAAAATGGGTAGGACTGTCGTGCTGTCATAACCATGCTTGTATATTAATCCTCTGTCTAGTAGGAAGCGGACCGTTCAATTCCGTACAGACGGTTCAGCGTCCGTCCGTTCGTCGGTCTCCGCCTTATGGGGTCCGAAGCAACTGGATCCACTTGTACCGTTGGATCTCACACTGGAAGTTCAGCGAGAGAAGGCTTCCTTGAAGAGAATCGGAGATCTGGACACGTGTGTCCTCCAAATTTGGTTATAATGCTACTCTCCTGACGTCTGTTTTGATGAAGTTCTATAACCGTACAAGTCTCAGGCTTGATCTCCAAGTTTTCATTTGGGAGTGGTCGTACGGGTACCGATCGTCAATTCTTCTATGTGAATGGTCGTCCCTGCAATCTCGGCAAGGTGGGTTGTATTCCTAACATCATTGCAACGCAATCGCCTGTCTAAAACATCTTTATCCCATGTAGGTCCAAAAGGCGTTTAACGAGGTTTATAGGACATTCAACTCGAACCAGAGCCCCTTCATCATCGCTGACTTTAAGCTGCCAACGGAAGTATGTGATATCAACGTCAGTCCCGACAAACGGACGATCTTTGTTCACAGCGAGGATAATCTGATTATAGCGCTTAAAGTATGCATCCTCTGTTTTTCTGGCGAATTGTCCTGTTCAACCTTAATGGATAATGACAGGAGGCACTGGAGTCAGCCTTTTCACCTGAGCGGTCTACTTTCTCAGTTGCTCAAGCCCAGATAAAACCGAAACGTCAGCAAGACCGAAAGATAGAACCCGACGCGATAAACGAACATATGGAAGTGGACACCGGCGTGGATCAACAAATGGAGGGCGAAAAGATATCCAACGATGTCTTCGGTCCTTCAGCGACTCGCGGCCACAGGGAAATACGGACCGCCTCGACTTCTTCTTGTAGAGCGTCATCGAAGGATGCTCAAGATCATTCGGAGTCGACATCCACCAACCCGTTGACTGACATTGAAACCGAAAGCGACCCCCCCAATCAGCACGTGGCATCAACATCAATCGGCCTCACAGATCTACCACCGTCCTCAGCGGATACAGATATGAGGTCTCAAGATCCCGAACCTATCACGCCATCCAAGCCAGTTAGCTCGCGAACGGGGCGGCCAGCTCCTGACAACCACGATTTGGCCGAATTCACTCAGGTTCTTTCGCCTATCGGTACGCGCAAATCATACATCGTCTCTCCAGAAAATCCTCAAGATATCCCACAATTAAAGAAGCCTATCCAAGCCGTTTTATCAACTTCGGGCGCTTCTTGGAATCTACGAAGGCAGTCGGATGATGGGGATGGATCGACCGGATCTCGTAAAAGGCTGAAGCTACAGCCGACAGCTCCCGCCTCGCTCCCGTTGAAGTCGGACTTCAAGACAAGGTTAAGCAGTTATGCTGCGGCAGGGAGCCAAGTCACGCATTCCGCCGATCTTGAGGAGGAAGACGACGACAACGACAACGACGAAGACAAGGATGAGGGGGAAGACAAAGACGCGGGCCCAGAAGAAGATGTCGACGAAGTCGATGAAGTCGAGGACGAATCAAATCAAGAGATACCCTTAAGACCTGTGGGCACTGCTCGACACGAAGAAAACGAAGATAAGGACAGGAAAAGTCAAGTCAATCAGAGGTATTCCTCATCATTGGCAATGGATCCGGTTCGCGACCTGGGCACGTCCACCACAGTCCGTCCACGCTCATATATCCGGACTAGCCCACCGAATCGCATCACTGCTTCGTCTTCCCCGTTAGATCCCGTTGTTGATCTGACAGTTAATGAACCAGACGAGGACATTCCGCCGGAAGAGTCAGATCCTCTCGGTGTGGACGCTGCTCTAAGTTCTTCCGGAAGCGGGACTCGGACTTTGTCCGACACCGGAGGAGACAACACGCTGCGCGTAGATCTCGCCCGTATATCCAGTGTATGGGAGGATCGTCATTCCACACCAACACAAGCACCCTCGCCGATCAGTGTTTCCGTCGGGGCGGCTGCGTCCAACGCAAACAATGATGGGAGTGCTGAGAGGGAACTCAGCCGCGTCATCAGCAAGGAGGACTTCAACGCCATGGAAATCATCGGGCAGTTCAACAAGGGTTTCATCGTCGCCCGGTTGCGAAAGAGGCATGGCGCGCCGAAAGCCGACCACCGCAGTGAACAGCAAGGGATCTTGGATGACCTTTTTCTCATCGATCAACATGCTGCTGATGAGAAGTACAACTTTGAGGATCTCCAAGTGACGACTAAGATTCAGTCTCAGCAGCTTTTCAAGTGATAATCATCTTCGCACTACTTCCCCCATTCATTTACTCATTTCTCGCTTCTCATTTCTCAGACCTCGGCCGCTGGAGCTCAATGCCGCGGACGAAATGATTGCTCGTGAGAGTGTTGATATCCTGCGTATCAACGGTTTCGAAATCATGATTAAGGGAGATGAAGACAATGATGAAGAGCGAGAACGAGTCTACTTGATGGCTCAACCCGTCAGCAAAAGTACCGTGTTCGACATGAAAGGCACGTCACCGACAAAACGCGTACCACCTTTTCCTACTAACGTTTACTCCTCACAGATCTCGAGGAACTGTTGCACCTGTTGCAGAGCGCGCCTTCAGGCCAGATGGTTCGTTGCTCAAAGGCCCGGGCGATGTTTGCAAGTCGTGCATGCCGCAAGAGTGTAATGATCGGAAATGCACTGTCAATGCGGCAGATGACAGCGGTGAGTTACCTTGATGCTCTTTATGTTGGGATGGAGTTGAATACCTTCGCCACCCTAGATCGTTCGGCATATGGCGACCATGGACCAGCCGTGGAACTGCCCACACGGCCGCCCGACAATGCGGCATCTTAGCCAGATCCGTGGAAGTAGCAAGGCAAGGGCCGTCAACTGGGCAAACTTCGCTCAGGCAGTTTAGCTATATCCCATGTCCTTTGGATGTATGGTTTTTTAATCTACTGTAAATATACATACTTGATGTATCCATTTTGCACACGCGCCTTTTTCGATAGCCCTGGACATTCTTATATCGTCAAGAGGCGGCAGCCGGATTCTCTGGGTTGGACATCAATCTAGAAGCGATATTGAATCAATTCAGAAACGTTCAAAAATTTTTGATGGAGAGAGGTAAGATAAGTCTTAATTCTGTCGGCTTGGTTGATTAGTGTAGTGGTTATCACATCGGATTCTGATCAAGTTTGAGTCATCTTCCGGTAACCTGGGTTCGACTCCCAGATTGACCTATCTTTTGCATCTCTTCGCGACGGCCTTCATTCACAGGTATATTGAGTCCCCGATTCTACGTAGTAGAGAGGGTTTTGTCAGACCGTCGTGTCAGCGGTCGAAACGCCCGTTAAATCCGTGTCCCGACTCGCGAAAAAAGCGTGGGCCTAGCAAATATAACGCCTCGTCTGTGGGAGCTTGGGGGCACTATAGGAGCTGTACGGTGAATCATTTGACCCGCTTTTGTGCCCAGTTGCAAAGGAAAGCGAATCAAATGGTCAGGAAGCACAAGCCGGTAGGTACAGACACAAAAGGCATCTGACTATCACGTCCCAAGGGCGAGTCGTAGGCGAGCCCAGAATTGTTAGAACAATGATGCCTAGCAAAATTCCCAATTTTATGTAGTAAGAAGGTTTTGTCGGACAGTAATAATCACGAGCATAACATCCGTTAAACATATTTTAGATAGAATCCCCCCGTTATCCACAAAAGTTGTTAACTCCCCTTATGGAGAATAACGAAAGACAGAAGGGGTCCGTTGAGGTGATACAGTCTTATTTCCAGTTACCATATCCCGTGAGGGCGAACTAATACCGCAAACCAAAGATTATATTACGCCTACTATCAAATCACGAGGGCGAGCAAGTCAGGATAGTAGAATCGGGGGCTGGCGCTTGCCGCCGCTACGATTCTACATTCGGCTATCCCGGTGCTTCGGAGTTATGCGAGATGCGAGCCGCAGGGGTATCGCTGTAGTGGTTGCCGCACCCCCAAATACACTTCTCCGACAGGCACCACCACATTGAGGACTTGCCAAGATTATGCAATTTTGCGCCACGCGCTTCGCTCGCCCCTTTGACCAACGGTTCTAAACTCAGTCGGGCTGTGCGATCCCGTGTACCGAAGTGAACCAGCCGCCGAGATAGATATCGATGCATCACATAGGGCGATATTACTTTATTCTTTTCTTTCGTATTCGAACTCTTCTTCTCTCTCTTTACTAACAAACCTCCGACTATAAAACTCATCAATACCCCACAATGCTCGATGAAGCGGGGATCTACATGGTCGGAACGATGTCCTCGATGATTATATGGAGTGCGTTATTTAAACCGAAGGAGCCGCCATGATGTCACTGATCAAAAGCCGTGTGGGCTTCTATGTCTGTCTATTCATCCAAACGATTATTGCCTGCCGCAGGAAGGGGATTTTGCGGTTTTCTTTCCCCATAGTCATTATCAGCTGGATCTTTATATGTAACCTCGCCCAAACCAGTGAGCCTCACTTTGCCGTTTACGTTGTCAAAGCCCGCACTGAATTCTTTTCCCAGTCTGCCAAGTATTCCTAGCTTACAGGGGTTTTGTATTGTATCCGGATGGGCCAGTGGCCTATTTCACTCTTTTCGACCTGAGACAGATCGACTTGGGATGGTTTGCCGCAACTGAGTGAGTTCTACCAAGCGAAATGAACCTTTCTTGGGGCTAACAATAGGGCATTTATTCTAAGCTTTTGGCAATGCTCTGCTGTAGGTCTTCCATTACGAACAACACAGTAGCATATTTGATTGACATAACCACCAGGCAATGGCATCTGATATCCTCTTGTTGTGGAGAGTGTTTATCATATAGTGAGCTTCTCCCCAATTCTTCGGCGAGCCTCCTCACACTTCTTCACATTTTATTTCAGGTCCCGAGATAAGCGGGTCTTATACCTCCCTTTGGTGCTCCTACTCGTTGGAGCCATTGGTCGCGTCTTGATCGTCTTGTTCGACGTCATTTTTTCTGCTCGCTTCAAGGATCCGGTCTTTTTAGCCCAGGACAACAAGTTGAGCGTGGCGGTCCTCTCGAACGTTTTTGCTGAGACGTGGTATTCCACGCGGCTTGTTTGCTACCGCCTCTGGTGGATGGAGAAACAAAAGCGAAAAGCCGCAGGGACCTTCCAAGAGGAGCTCAGCACTCGATCCAACCCAACCAATCGATACGGAAAAGTCATGCATGTCCTAGTTCAGAGTAGGATGCTCCATAGTCTAGCGCTATTGGCCTTCATTGCGTGTCTTTTGTTGGGAAATGTGAGTTTCTAAGAGTCGTTTATGATATATGTTGATCTTAATCTACCCTTTCCTCGTAGTGGGCTGGAGCGGATATAATCAACTGCATATACGTTAGGATCATTGGAATCGCTACCACCCTTATCATACTAGTGAGTGGCTCTGGGTTCCGCTTTAACCCAATTGTCTTCAACTGACCTTGCGTATCATGTCCACAGCAATTGAACAGTTCTCCCCCAAAGGCTGGTCCTATCAACAACCTCCAGTCCTCCATCAACTATACCATGCCAATCTTTGTGCACGCCGCTCCCGGCACCGCTATTTCAAAGGATCAAACCATTCGCGCGACCACGAGTTCCGCTGATACGGACGTGAACGATATCGATCACGTCTATTTGAATTCAACCATCTCTAAAACGCAAAGCAATGGGAAGTCTCCCTCGAATGAAGATATTGACCCCGTGTGAGAGATACCCCCTTCGTTTTGTTCTCTCTTTACCTCCCGATGTACTTTTGTGCTTTACGTGTTCTCTTTCATTCGCAGTGTCACTCCATCGATCTCGATGTCTTCTCTTACTGCTGTCTCGATGCCAAGCCCGCCACCACAGCCTACTAGAACTTGTCTCTCCGGGTAGAGACTCCCGTGTGTCGATACCTCAACAGGAAAGCTTGGCTGCATACTAGATACGCCAAAGACAAGAGTCTAATTCACTATTACGTATCAAGCTTACCCTATTTGTATTTGTGAAAGATTCATACTCCAGCTCGTACATGACCCTTTTTCTGTCTTCCTCCTTCCTTCCCTTGTTTGGGGGGCTGCGACATCCTTCAAGGTTAATATGCCGTATGACTAAAGATGATTATTAGGAGGGCGACCCAAGACTCGCTATAGGAGTAAATTGGACGTGACCAGAGCCAAGTCACCGCCCGAAACGATGATGGAGAGCCAGATGATCGGCATGAAGCCTAGATTGATTATCATGCGCATGTTGTCGAGGATATATCAGAGGGCGGCGTGGCCCAAAATGCTGGAGCCTCATAATTTGCATAGGAGGAGACCGCAGCAAGGCGGGTTGGAGCCAAGTAAATCAATCAGTAGCAGGTTCCGCGTGTGCCTGGAGTTCGATCTGTATAATACAATCACCGGATATTTGTTCAGTATCCATGATTAACGGAGACTACAATCAGGGCTTGTACCAGTACGTCGGGATCAATCATCGGATATACGACCCTGAATCCCTGTTTTAGCGCCGCCGGACCCTTTATTGGGATTGTTGTCGGCATTGCTCTGGACCAGCGACGCTGAGCACCCGTTTCGTTCGATATCAATGCAGAGCGATATGCAGGGTTAGCGGTCTAGGACATGGGCACCAATCCTAATCGAAGATAGTAACTAGGCTTATTTTTTACATTGGAAAGCCGGCTTGCAAGGTTCTCACCTTCGTATAAGCCTACAGCATCTACTTTCCCTTCGAGGTCGTTTGGCCATATGCTTCGACTGCTCGATATACCTACACCTTGCACCGCCCGCTAGGGTGGGCAACGCTTGAACACAGTCGGGCTCCGAGATGTGTACCTAAGCCAGCTGTTTCTTTGCGCCACTTCATTTCGTACTTCTTGGTCTTCTTCGTTCACCTCCCTCCCTACCAATAAAATTTTCGATTACTGAAACGAGGAACTCCGCAGCACTTCTACATTACTCGATGAGGTGGGATATACGTGATCACCATCATACAGCCGCTGATTTTGTGGAGTACGTTTTTACCTGCTACTTAAATCGTGAATAATCTATGTGAGGTACTGATTAGACGGCGTACAGGTTTCTGTGTCTATCTATTCATTCACACGATAATTGTGCGTCACAGGAGGAGATTATTATTTCCACTATTTTTGGGCGTCATCAACCGGATCTTCCTATGTAATCTCGGTTAAACCCCCATTGTTAACATGCTTGTCGGAACGGTCGGCTGCATCACGCTTATCCCCTTGGACGTTATTTTCGCGGCACATCCGAATTTTCTCACCCAGAACGGCACGCTAACCATGGTGGTGCTCTCTAATATTCCCGCTCATACATACCAAGGTCATTGGTATGGCAGCGACCTTTATCATACTGGCAAGTGGCTCCGGGTCTCGCTTTGAGACTGTCCCCGATTAATCATGCACGTCTCCATAACAGCTAAACAATGCCGTCCCAGAAGCTGACCCCAGTGATAACCCCTAGTCCTCAAATAACTACAACATGCCAATCTTTCTGAATGCTTCGACCATTTCTAAGTCTGAAGGCATTGCGACGTCCACTTCAGGTGAAGAAAGTCTCGTATGATGGCTGTCCCTGTCTCTCAAGTCGTCCTCTTTCGTTTTCATGTTCCGATGTTTATACTTTCAATTCTTTGCGTCGCCTTGACCCCTTCGGCCTTTATGTCTTATGTTCCCCCTCCTGATGTCGCAATATTACAACCGATAGCATGTTCAGATACGGGAATTAGCCCCCACAACATACGGCCCTGGCAGACGGAGGATAAATTGGTAGTGTAGCCTGGCTACCGTGCTCGGAAACAAGGGATAAAAAATTTGGCTAAATTATTTTAATCCTCGCTTAAGAAGGTCCAAGTACCTAGCGTAGGTCTTCGCACAAGGAATAACTCTTAAAGTTTCGACATCTCGTTCCTGTTGACGTATGCCACTCCTCCATCGAGGCAAATCTGTAAATCCAAATAGCGGTGCAGGGGCCGTCAAATAAGAGCTTGGGGCTAATGATTTTCGAGTCTAGTTACCTTGTTGGTGGTTAGGTTTTTTGTGATGAATGATATCTCAATGGTATTGTCCGGACGCTCTCCGACTTCCCACATGGATGTCTCAAGCGTATCTGATCAAGAATTTGAGTGCTAGAGTATTCATCAAGAAGTGCACGCCGCTTACCGCCAGGTTTTACAGGACTCGCAAATCGTACACCAAATGCCCTAAGTGCAG